GCCGTTATTTTGGAAGACGCAAAACTTCCCGGCTCTTGGGGCACACCTGGAGCGCTGCCCTGTCCCAGCCCCGCATCCCGGGCCCGGCCCCTCCGCAGCAGGGAACGCGCCCGGGGCGGGGGTCGCGGCCGGAGTCACCGGAGCCCCCGCAGGCCGGCAGCTCTCCCGGCAGGGCTGCCACGGCCGAGGCCCCCGAGGGGAGAGGCACAGGGGCGCTGGGACCGCGCTCAGACCGCGGGCTCCCGCGCGGCACCGCCGAGCGCCGGGCGGCCGCGGGCTGCGGGCACTCCCCGCACCGGGCCCGGGGCTGCGCTGCTGGCGCGGCGCCGGGCCGGGGCTGCGGGACCTTGAGCCGGGCGAGCGAGGAGCCCCGGGGCCGGGGGATGGGGGGAGCGCGGCTGCGGCTGCCGGGCCGCGCGGAACGCATCGTATGGTATCGCATCGCATCGCATCGCATCGCATCGCACCGCATCTCCCCCGGTGCAGGCGCGGCTCCCGGGGCCCACCGGTAGTGAAGTGGGGGGTGATCGCCGGGCACCTGTCCCCCTCAGGTCCGAGCGGTACGGACCTGTCGCCCCGCGGCTGCCCGGGACGCGGGCCAGCGCTCCCCGCCGCCGCTCCGCCATCGCCCCCCGCCGCCCCCCGCCGCCGCGGCGCGGCCCGTACCGCAGTCGGCGCAGAGGATCCGCGCCACGTCCCGCTTGAGGTTCTTGCCGCTGGTGTCGAGCGGAGCGAAGGCGGTGCGGAAGACGAGCGGCTCCTCGGTGGGCTCCAGGAAGAAGATGTAGCGGTGGTTGCGCTTCACTTTGAAGCAGGGCGCCTTGGAGCCCACGCTGATGAGCTGCTCCCGCTGCAGCCCCCCGCTGTTGAGGGGCCACAGGTCGAGCACCTTGACCAGGACACCCCCGGCGGGCCCGGCGCCGCGGCTGTCATTGCCGCCGGCGGGGGGGCCCACGGACTGCACCTTGCCCTCCAGCACCACCGCCGCCGTGTACGCCTGGTCCTGCACCGACTTGAGGCTGGGCGAGTAGCAGGCGAGGGAGACGCCGAAGAGCAGCATGGAGAAGCCGGGCGCCGGGTCGCGCCTCATGCCGCCGGCTGCCGCTCGCTGCCCGCCGGCCCTGCGGCGGCGGCCGGGCTGCGGGGCCGGGCTGCACCGGCACGGAGCGGCACGGCAGGGCACGGCACAGGCACGGCCTGGCGCGGCGCGGCCGCGGCACGGCACCGGCACAGGCACTGGCGCGGCGCGGGGGGGAGGCGGGATGCTCCCTCAGCTGCCCCTGCCCCCGGGATGCTGACCCCCGCACCCCCCCGGAAAGGTGATTCCCTGCCCGGGAACTCCCCCCCGGGGATGCCCGCTGCGGCGGGGATCCCCGCGTCCCTGGGGGTCCCCGGGGATGAAGGCAGACCGCGTTCCCTCCATCCGGCCATGGAGCCGGCCCCTCGGCAGGCCCCCCGGCGTTCGCAGAACCCCCCTTTTCCCCGCAAAAGCGACCAAAGATGCGCTCATTCGGGGGCGGCTGCAGGTGACACGGGGGTTCCGCGATGCGCAGGGCCCGGGAGCCGGGGTTTCCTCTTTGCCCGATGGTTTTATGGAGCTGGGAGATTTGTGCCCGAGATTCCCTGCACACCTGAAGGAAAGGCATTAACATAGAGACAAACGGAACACGCAGTGGCCGGGGAGACAAAGCCGCCTTTCATGCCCTGTTCCTGCTGCCTCTCGTTAATAAACAAATGCTTTTCCCTGCAGTGGCTTCCAGGAGGAGTCGCTTTAAGCTCCAAAAGGTGCTTGTTTGGGTTTATTTTCGAGGCTGATCCTGAAGCATCTGCGCTCCCAAAGCCTCGCTTGCCCAGGCAGTGCGGAAGGGAGCCGAGATGCTCAGTTACCAGCAGCAGGGAATGTTGTGGTTGTTGCACTGGATTCTGCGTTGAAGGGGAGCGGCCATAGTCCCATCCCACGGAGGTGACCTGGAGGCGGGAGGGCGATGGCTCTGGGCACGGACTGCAATGGCCCCAGGACCTTTAGAGCCCCGGAGAAACCCCTCAAGGGATGAAAAGAGCTGGGTCTTTGAGCCCATCGGTGAGAGCAAAGGAGCACAGATGGCAGGATGGGGATTTGCTTTCCATTTATCATAGTGCAGCCAGAACCATCAGGAAAAATGGGAAGGGAGCAGAGCCGCTGTGCCCAGCCCAGCCCAGGCATGGGGCGTAGCCTCTCCTCCTGTTTTCCGGGCTCGGGGCTGGAGCCAGCGCTGTCCCACCGCTGGCACACGAGGGCACAGCCCTGGCACACGCACCCGGGGCTCTGCAGCCATGGGCGGCTGTGGCTCCTGCTGCCAGCCCGGACCGCTGCTCTTCCCCTCCCCGGGAGTGCTGACAGCTCTCAGAGCAGCGTTACCATTGCAGGGCCGTGCACACAGCAGGGCTCAGGGACCATTTACTTATTGTACACATTTCCTCTTGCTAAGCGTGATTTTCTGTGGTCTCTTTTTGGTCTCGGATGTTTCTGAAGGCTTTCTCTTTTCCCTGATTGGTGACCATGCAGAACTGCAGAGAAATGCAGGGGGAGGTAGAAGGGACCAGAAGTGTTTCCCACGGCAGAGGGAAGAACAGTATTTTAGATTCAGGAAGCTGCTCGGAGGAGCAGGGAAACCACCTGACTTCTCTCTTCTTTTGACATAAATCTCTGTGGAATTTCCCCTTTCCCTATCATTTTGCTCAGACAGCAACTGAGGTTCTGCCTGAAAAGGAAGGAGATACCCTATAGCATAACTTGATCTGGAGCTTGCCTGCTCTACCCTGCCTGTCAGCAGAAAGGGCACTTTCATACCCAGGCAGCTGAGTTGCTAATCCTTGTCTGGTTTTGCAGGCTGAAATCCCAGCAAGACCACAGCAATTCTTCCAGTGAGAAATCCAGTGCAAGGTACCTGTGAGGCCTCTGGGGCAATTTTGAAAAATGAGGATTTTCTTTGTCTCTGGGGCATTTTGAAGTCCAGAACACTTAGCGTCAAAAAAGGGCATTGGTCACATCTCCTTTTAGCAGTATTTTTCCTGTTGTTCAGCCTAACTCTTGTGGAGTCAACTGGCTTTCATCACTTGAGACACTTGCTTTTCTCTTATCATTTCAGAAATGGTTTAGGACTAAATCCCTTTCCCCCTTTTATGCTGCTCTTCCCATATAAATGGAAAATCATTATTTTCTATAGGTCCTTGGGCATTTTGACATATGAAATAAATAAAGAAAGGTCCTTGGTGCAGTTACCAGAGCAACCTGAACACTGGCTCTGAGAGAATGAAGCCTAAATAACCGATTTTAAAAATATTTTCCTTCAGTTGAGGGTAACTGTTGGCAGGGACCCCAGGAGGTGAGTGGTCTGTTTTAATTTATCCAAAGCCCATCTCTCCCCGAATTCCCTGCTGTGAAACCCTGTCATATTTGCCATCCTGGCAGAGAGATGGAGAATCTGAGCTCAGCCTGGATTCCACCCTGTCTGGAGGACCCCAGAGTTCAGCAGCACCATCAGAGGTTTTCATTCCTCAGGCAAGTGCTGTGAGGGCTGGTTTTTCTTTTACCTCCTTTAATTTTGTTCCTGCAATTTCCCAGAGATGCCTGAAAACAAAGCACCTCTCAGGTCTCTCTTGCCCTCTGCCAAGGGAGCTCCTGGCACAGAGCCCTGCCTGGAGCACAGGGCAGTGTCCCAGTGTCCCTCCCTTCCTCAGGGAGCCTTGCAGCTCTTCTGCAAGGACAGATGTTGACCTCCAGCAGCACAGGCAGGTGGGCTGTCCTCCTTCAGCATCCTCCACAGGTTGCAGATTCTCAGCCTCCTCCGTGTCAGTTGAAGGTGTGCTCCTGCAAATCCCATGTGGGGATTTTGGTGTAAGGAGGAACAAAACACAGAGTCACAGAACGTGCTGAGCTGGAAAGAGAAGCATTGAGTCCAACACCTGGCTCTGCACAGGCTATCCTAACAATCCCACCTTGTGCCTGAGAGCATTTTCCAAATGCTCCTGGAGCTCTGGCAGCCTTGGGGATGTGCCCATTCCCTGGGGAGCCTGGGCAGTGCCCCCCAGCACCCTCTGGGGGAAGAACCTTTCCCTGATATCCAGGGAAAGGTCCGGCCATTCCCTGTGTTATCCAGCACAGGACTGTGCTAAGCTCTTCCCCATTTCAGGCCAGCCTCAGAACCATGCCTGCATTGCAGGGGTGTCCCCCCACCTCCCACAGCCCTTGCCAGCACCAGCTCTATCCTGGTTCCCTGCAGGGAGCCTCAAGCCGTGCTGGTGTGAAGATGGCAAATACAGGAGATACCATCCCATACCCCAACCAGGAGAACATTGCTTTCCCTCCCTAGGGGACATTCCTTCCCTGCAACAATCAGGTGTGTCACAAAAGCCCCACAAATGCCAACAAATCCGCTTCAATCAGTTTCTCCCACCTCCATGTCTTCTCTGCAAGGATTTGGCTTGCTCAGTTGGGGGATGCCCATGGAGAGCATCAGTGCCCCATGTGGGGCAGGAGCCAGCCCTTCACCAGGACACACCAGACTCCTGGCACCAGGGGGACACCACCACACCCTCAGGTGAAATGAGAAAAGCAGGTGATAAATGATGAACACAGGAATTATGTGGAAAAAGGAAAGTCCAACACTCAGTCTGAGACTCCAACCTGGACATTGACTAACCACAGAATCAGAGAATGGCTCAGATTGGAAGAAACCTTAAAAATCATCTGCTTCTATATATCTCCTGCCTGTTAATGTCAACTTCCAGTGCAGGGGAAGGCAGAACTGAGAGTTGTAGCTGTAGGCACCAGTGCTGTCCCTCCCAGACATTGACTATCCTGGCACAGAGGCCTGATCCAGGCACCCATCCTTCCCTCAGCTGGGAGAGCATTGACCCACTGTAATTCCATGAGATGTTCAACAGTCCAAAGAAAAGATGAGAACATTTGTTGCAGGGACAAAAAGCAGGACTTTATTATGATGAAACGCACCCCAAAAAGCCTTTTATCTCTTGGCACATGGTGATCAAAGGGAAAAAATCAAGAGCAAGTAGTTTCCTCCACCTGGAAGAAAAGCAGTTAGGGTTCCCTCCAGCCCCTTTGTGACATATTCACCTAGGCAGTAGGAAGGAAAAAAATCTACTCATCCTTCAAGGAAATGTGTGCCTCTTTTATTTGCTGCCCTCCCCGAGAAACTCATTCACTCCTTGTCCACCCACACAAGCAGGAATGATGAATGAAAAACAAACCATAAACAATTCAGCCTTCCCTTTTCCCTCCCAGCCTTCCAATCAGATGTTCCAGCCCGTGCCCAGATTCTGCCCGTGGATCGCTCCCACCGCGTGCCTTGGCTCGCCGTGCTGCTCGCACGCTCGTTCCTTGGACACAGACAGCTGCATCCAACACGTTTGTCAGCAGCTCCAGCTCCAGGAGAGCTTCACTCAGCGTGGAGGAGACAGGGGAGCCTCTGCACCACTGCCCAGAGCCAGAGGATTCCTCTGGTGGGACTGGCAGAGGCGACACTGGCAGGGAGCTGATGATCAGGCAGGCAGCTCTTCGTGTCCCCCAGGACAGCGGTGCCCAGGTGAGATGTGTCTCTAGAAAGTTGACAGGGTGCAAAATGGCACCAGTGTGAGCAATGCTCCCCAGAGGATGGTGTATCCCAGCCTCCAGCCCTCCAGTGAGAGATCCCTCCATCCCAGAGGTTCTCCCTGGACTGGATTTCACTGCCAGCCCTGGATGTTTTCTCTCTCCCTTCTCTCCACACAACCTCCTTACACCCCCCTGTGTATCAAATAACAATTGCAGCCATACCAGGGCATCAGGTACATCTGTGCACTTCTGAATTCCCTTCATAGGCAAAGTCCCCTCCCACTTTTGCCTGTTTTGTGTATTTTTATGTACAAATACGCTGAGTGGGTGTATGCCTTATTAAATGTGTAGGAAACAGGGGGAACGAGGACTTGAGGTACCACCACAATAAAAGAGAGGGACGAGGCTCTTCGGCTTTGCTCTTGATTCCCTGTTTAAATACAATTTGCTATTAGATAAGAGACCCTCTCCAAATTACTTCTGAGATCCAGGAGGCCATTTCTGCAGCAACAAGTTACTGCTTGGAGGCAGCCTGTGGCTGGAAAATGCCCTTGATATTACAGAAATGGTAACTTGTTTAATAGATCCAAATAAATAGGAAAGCCCAGGAGCTCGGGTGGCAGCATCTGAGCCCTGTACTGAGAGGTGCACAGACCTTAGGGCAAGGCTAAATATAGGTCCCACAAACCAGAACAACAGAGCTTTTACTGAGAAGATAATCAAGCCCTGGAGGAAACTACACAATATAAAGCTGAGATTTAAAATAAATGTGAAATGAGTTGGTGGATTTGGGACTAGTTCCTTATGGAAAAGTTTTCACATCAGAAAAAAATCGTTTGGTGAAATGGGCTCTTTAATTAGCAGTTCCAGCAAGAAGCCAGGAGGATTGGAGGGGTTCTGGAGCCTCATCCCTCACCTTTCCATCCTGCCCTTTGCAAGGAGAGCTGGGATCAGGGGAGGGGTGGGCTGTCCCAGGCTGCTGCATGTCAGGGGCTGAAGAGGATCCCTGTTTGCTCTCCTTGTGCTCTCCTCTTACCATGCCCTTCCCAAGAACATCCTGCGCTCTCCAAAAGCAACACCCAGGGCAGCAGGTGCTGAATCCAGGCAGGAAATCCACAGGACAGGTGTCCATAGCCCCTGCACACGAGGCTCTCATCCTGCACCCACCAGTGGCCAGGCTGCAGCCACTGGGACTGTCCAAACCAGATTTCAGGTAGCCAGATCCTGAATGCAACATCCCAGCTGTGATGCCCAGGGAGGGAGGCTGGATCCCACCCACCAGGGCACACCATGGCACTGCCATGTCCTCACCTGGCTCTCCTTCAGCCGGCTAAAGGGGTGCAAATTAAAAAATAAGACCCAAGTTATTTTTCCTTTTCCTCTCTCATTCTTTCCTTGCTTCATCTCACACTGTAATCTTGTGGTTTCCAATTAAATTGTGTCTTTATCTCTCCTTTCCTCAATAAGTTAGTGAAAATTACTTTTGCTCCAAGGTGGAGCATGAATGTCTCACTCTGTGCTGAGCATGAGACAAGACACAGGGCCCAAGGAGGAACAGAAGCTCCTGCTTTCCTGGGGAGTGATGGGTTCAGTCAGGCTCCTGAGCCCCCCCAAGCATCTGAGCCTCAAGTTTCCATTTTCAGCTCCATTTTCAGCTCCTTCTCCTCCTTGCAAAGCCTGTGCAACAGCAGTGGGAGGTTACAAATAGAGCAAGGCAGCTCATCTGCTGCAACTCGCTGTGTGATCCGTGGGCACACACGTGCACGTGCTGGATCCTCCCTCCTCAGGCACCTCCAGCCTCTCCCAGCACACCCAAGGCCACGCTGCTTTCCCGGTCTGCAGCTCCCTCCTCAGCCCTTTGCTGAGCACGTCCTGCCTGGAGCTGAGGACACAGGCAGCACCACATGCATCTGCACTGAGATTAACCCTGCACAGCCAGGGACAGCAATTTGTATTTCCTCACCCAAAATTCATCCCCTGGGAAGGATGCCAGGCCAGCTCTGACAAGACAGAGGCTCCAGTGGGAGTCTCTGCTTGCTGCAGGAGTGATGGGGCACTGACATCACCTGCCTTACCTGCCGCAGGGGTGCTGCTCCTGCCTCTCTCTCCTCTCCTGAAGGCTGGATCACACACACAGACTCATTGGGGCAGGGACACAGGCACTAAAAGGAGGGATGATGGGAGGTGGTCTCGTTTAGTCTGTCTGAGAGGAAGTTAATGGCTAAAAACTACCTGGAGGGCAGGTACAAAGGCAACAGAGCCAAAGTCCCCTCCGTGGGGCATGTCACACAGGGCAGTGGCCCTATAATGCAGCTTGGGAGGCTGAGGGTGAAAATCCAGGTGATCTTTCTTTCCCAGGAGGTGGTGCATCCCTAGGAGAGCACACAGCATGGGGGCAAGGGCCCTGCATTGTTTGGGGCTGATGAGGCTGAGCCCAGTGAGGCCGTGGTCACCCTGACCTAGTGCTGGCAACAGTCATGGTGCAAGCAGGCACCAGCCAGCAGCATCCCAGGGCTCCCATCCCACTGCCCCTTCCAGGACCCTGAGACTCTGGGATATGTGAGCTCTACCCAGTCTGGCATGGCTGTTTCTGAGCCCCCAGCTAGTGGGGTAATGCTGGCTGCCCATGACACGACACACAGCACTGTCTGCTCCCTTCCAGGAGTCACTGCTTCTTCATGCAGGGAAGCAATGGGGACCTGAGTGAGGCACTTCAGAGTAGAGATCTGGCACAACCCTTTTGTTTCCACAGGTTGGAGATGGCCAGGGAGGCAGCAGGAGCCTTGGCTCTGGTCTGAGGGGAGTAGTCTGTCCCTAGTCCCCCAACAAGCACACCCATTTCCTCAGGGATACTCCCTGGACTCAGTGGGGGAGGTGGTGATGTGGGGGGTCTCTCCAGCCTCAGTGAGAAATGCCCAACAGCAAAAGCCTTCATAAAATATCTGTTTTAACAAGGCAGAGTAAAAAGAGAAATGTCAAGGGCAAGTAAGCCTTATGGCCCTTCAGATGCAGAGCACCCTGCATCCGTGCAGCGTGGGATGGACCCAGGATGGATTTTCCCCAGCGTTGCACATATCCCTTCCCTGGAGAGAAGTTCTTCCTTTTTGCTTCCTCAAGCTGTCATAGATCCTTCTTTTTATTCTGTCTTATTAAGGCAGCTGTTTTATGATGCCATTTGCTGTCAGGCCTTTCATACTGAGATGCAGAATTAACCCCCTCTCACAGGTGCCAGAGCCCCTTTCCTTCCCAGCCCCGTGCACTGCTTTCCCCAGAACAAGGGTCTGTGCCTGCTGTGCTGCCTGCAGACTGTCCCACAAGTCTCCAGCAAAGCCAGTTTGCCAGCTTTGCAAATAGCTTTCCTCTCTAACACAAACTAGGTGCTGCACACATCACAATCTCTTACCTGCTCCATCCAAACCTTCTGGAATCCCAGCTCCGCATCTCCCCACCTGAACCTCATGGTATTTGCTGAGCAGCTGTAAAACAATTAATTGAATTTAATTATTGAGAGGATTTTCATGTTTCCTGAACACTTACACACCATGTTATCTCAATCACACCAGGGCTGGTCTCTAATTCTCTTTTTAATGAGTTCCCAAAATATTCCCATAAGCAATATCCTCAAACCAGCTCCTCTATCTAGACACTGTGAGAGGCTGAAACCCCCCTAATGGTCCCTGGGGAGGGAGAAGGACTTCTTGCTGTGCTGGGTGCATTCTGTATTGGCACCAGGCAATTCCTGCTCTCCCCAGCAGCAGGATTTAGGGGAGCCAAGGTTTTCTCCTCCTGGTGTGATTCAGTCCGTGCTCCTTCTGTCCTTCACTCTCCTGCAGGGTTATTGCACAGCCCCAGCTGGGACCTGTGGGTCTAAAAGCAGACCAAGAAATTACCTCATAAAAGTGAAGGTTTTTACCCTCTGACACCAAGCCAGAGAAGACTCTGCAGCCAATTTGCTCTGTGAGAAACCAGAGCATAAAAAAATTCAGTACCTTCGTCATTTTACTCATGGCATCTTTGAGGGAAAAGAAAAAAGATGTTGCCTCTATGGTAAGGGTCTGGCTTATGGACTAAGAGGTTTACAATTAAACACCTCTTCAGCAAAATCCAAAACACTGGGATGAGTTCTGGGACAACTTTTTTGACTGGGAGTCTCTGGATAAGCCACAGAGAGCAGGAATCCCAGGTTTTCAAATCCCAGACAGGTCTCAAGAGGACAGAGAGGAATCCCACCCAGAGCCACAATGATGCTCCAGAAAATATCCTCAGAGCAGCTCTGAAAGAGATATAGGCAAATGTTAAATAATTATTAAATTAACTTTGATACTTTGAGACATTCCCTGCTACAGTACATCATTTCTTAATGCTGCCCATGGGAAGTCACTCACAGGAAAGGAATAGTGCCTGACTCTTCCTTGTCACAGCACCCAGGTCAGGCTCACAGGACTCTGCAGCTGTGAGCTGGGGGGCCTCTCATCACCTCAGAGCTGGCAGGAATCAACCCCACCACCTTGTGAGTGACAAGTGACTCTGCTGCCTTAGATAACCCCTCACCACAGTCTCTTTTCTTCTTGGTAAAGCTTAAAATGAGAAGCCAAGTCGGCATTTCTCTTCCTCTATGGAAAACTGTGGACCTTTAGAGGGAGGTATCACACCTACCTCCCACCAGTGGCAACCCCCCTCTCACCTCTCACAGGAGGACAGCAAAGCTGACCATACCTCCATGTATCAGCACAGCTGAGACCTTTGTTCTCCTTGAAGGACAGCTGTGACTTCCTACCAGGGCAGCACTGGAGTATGGCTTAAAGAGCAGCTTTACCCTCCTGGAAAAGACTGGGCTCCAGAAGATGCCTCCTCCCAAGTGTGGGGCAGGACACCTGGCTGGGCCACAGAAAGACAGAGCAGTGCTGCAGTACTTGAAGAATGGCATCAAACACTCATCCTGCTATCCCTCACTCCACAAAATCATATCAGAGATCATCTTGTATCTCCTCTAAACAGGCTTGGCCACCACAGCCAGATGCTGTGGTGAGATGAGATGCCTTGGTTGGTCTCATGTGTGCACGATGAGGAGTTCAGAAGTTACAAGCTATAAATTCTTCTGGACCAAAGCTCCCACATTCTCCAGGCCAGGCTGAGAAGTATCTGTGTAAATAGGTTTGTTTACAGTCAACCAAGTGTTTTCATCCCAGGGACCCAACCAGATGCCTGTCCTGATGATGTGACTGCCAAGCAGCATCAGCACCAGCTCCACCAGCACTGGGCAGAGCAGCAGCTGCCCTGGTTGGGTCTGTGCCCACCCCACAGGGCCCAGCCTGCTGGAGAAAGGTCAGCCTCATGGGACACATCAGCTGTCCCAGAGAGGGCAAGACCAAGCACAGGGCCAGTGTGAAAACTCAGAGCCACCTCCAGGAACAGCTTTGAAGGGGGCAATTCCTGTCTCCTGGATTTGCACAGCAGCTCACACCCTCTCACAGACCTGCTCCCAGGGCAAACCCCTGCTCAGCCTCAGCACCAAGGCAGCTCCACAAAGCACAGGGGATGAAACACTGCAAAACAAGCTTGGACCAGGGCCATGCCTGGCCATGAGCCAGAGAGGGGCCAAGAGCACTGTGAGCAGAAAAGGTGTTTATAAACACCTCTCCAAGCCTCCTGCACAGCAAGACAAGCTGTGGAAATGCCTTTGGCTCCTTCCTGCTCATCTCTGGCTGGGCTCCACAAGAGCTTCCAGTGCAGGTTTTTGTCCATTTATCTTAGAATTGGGAGGGAGAGGAATTGAAAGAGTTTAAATTAAGTTCCAGTGCCTCTGCTCTCCTCCAGGTAGGTATTACTCTATTCCTGGGTTTATGTAGCATCCTTGAAATTACTGCTTTAGGTATCAGCTGTGCCTGCAGGGCTGCATTCACTCACTCACACACACACATTTGCCCCCAGGAGCCAAAAGGCAGGTCCTGAGCTTCTGCAATGAGCTTAACACTGCTAGAACAAGTCTTGAATACACCCATTAGCCTTGTGGCTGCTGCTTACCACCACAGGAAAAGAGGATTCAAAACCAGGGGCACTAAAAACACTAGGTGGGTGCCAGGTCCAGGGGGACAATTACGTGGATGCAGCAGAGGTTCTACCATAGGAACATCAGCTACTTGCATCCAGCCAGGGATCTGAGCCCTTGTCTGTACTGCACAGCTCCATCTGCACAGGTGGACTTCGCTCTTCCTTGGGTGAGTTTTGGGAGAGTTTTTCTTTCAGAGTCATGTAAATCAAACCCCACAGAGGATGGGGAGCTGGGATTCTGTGTGCTGGTTTTGGCTGGGGTAGAGTTAATTTTCTTCTCAGTAGTAGTTATGGGGCTGTGCTTTGGATTTGTGCTGAAAACATGGCTGATAACACAGAGATGTTTTTGTTATTGCTGAGCCATCCCAGACCATACAGCTCTGCTGTCCTGGGGGTGTCTGAACACCTGTCTGTGATGGCAGGTGGGAACAGATTCCTTGCTTTGTTTTGCTGGTGCATGTGTCTTTTGCTTTCCCTAACTGTCTTTATCTCAGCTGCGAGTTTGTCTCACTTTCCTCCTTCTGATTCTCTCTCCCATCCCATCAAAGGAGAGTGAGTGGATGATGGTGCTGAGCTGTCATTTGGGGTCAAACCACAGCACTGTGTCATGCTGGCAGCAGCCAGCCCACCTGAGAGCTGAGGACTCACTGCATCCTCTCCCAGTGGCAACAGCCAGGTCAGCATCTTTAGAGAAAAACTTCTGGGGAAAAGAAAAAGTCAAAGCATCCTTCTCTTGGATGCAAAACTGGTAAACTGTGATTTGTTCTAAATCTCATTTCAAAAGTGTGATTTGTTCTAAATCTCATTTCAAAACTGTGATTTGTTCTGTGTCTTCCTTCTCATCCTCACAGATGTTTGAGATTTCTTTGGCCCCACATGGAAGCAGTCAGCCCATTTCCTCCAAGCTCTATGAGCACCCTTGCTCCCTGGGAACAGATCGCAAAATATCTATTCCAACATCCTCACATACCTTTTAAGGAAAGGGGGTTTAAAGTAATCTGAAAGAATCACAGCCTGCAAAAGCTGCACTGGGGAGGGGCTGCAGTATTAACCTCAAAACCAGAAGTTACAAATGGCCAGAAAGGTCCCCTGGCTGGAGGAGGAGATGTGGAGGTCCGAGGCACACTCATACCTGGGAGTCTCTAGAGCCAAGACTTCTCTCTGCCTTCTCCCACCCTTTTCTCCTCTGGGACCCTGCACCAGCTGGACTGCTCTTGGACACATTAGGGACCCCATCTGGTGTGATCCAACAGCTTTAGAGGCTAAAAATTAATGGCAGGATAAAGCAGGCATTGTGACATGGGGGGATGCACCTCGATCAGGCAAAGCTGGAAAACCCAGAAATCTGCAGACAATGCCAGCCAGCGCTTTCTAAAGCACACTTCCCAAAAACATGCCTTGAGGGCATGGATTCACAGCCCACAGCCCCGAGCATGTCCATGAGCCCAGAAGGAAAAGCAGGACCAGAGAGGATGTCAGCTGCCTTGCTGCATGGCTGTGCAAGTCCAGAACCAGCAGTCATGGCTGGAGGAACAACAGAACCATCTGGGCACAGCTCTGGAGACAGCAGCAAGGCAGCATGAAAAGAAGAGGAATCAAACAACAAAAACAGGAGGTGCTCTCATCTTAATAAAAGGATGAACCAGCTGGTCACAGGAGCCAGATCAGCTGTGCCTGTGAGCCAGCTATGCCCACCTTCCTGGACGTCCCTCTGGACAGAGCACCTTCCCAGCCAATGCCACGGGCATGGGAAAAGGGAAGGAAAGGAGGAAGCCCACCCAGGCATCACAGCAGTTCAGCTGGAGGCAAAGGAGTCACCTGGGAAACAGGCAGTCACATACACGGGTGACACAGCCTTTGCTAACTGCTGCACATGATGCTGGGCTCTAGTCCTTGCTCCTCCTTAGGAGACAAGGAGCAGAGAGCCCTGGGTTTATAAATTACTCTCACTGGAACCAGAAAGATTGGAATTTGGTGGCCATTTGTTGCTAGCTTTTGACAGAAGAGCAGCCAGCACTTCCTGGATTATGCGGGGAGCTGGAGAACCATGCTTCCCTCTTAATGTCTCTGAGAACCAAGAACTGGGGAAGGTCCTCACTCTCTGCAGGTGACGAGACCTCCATGGTCAGAAAGAACAAATGAGGGGGAAGCCAGCTGAGAAAAGGGCAGTGGGGACTTGCAGGCCAGTCAGAGGAGAAGAGAAAGCACACTGGACTTGGAACAAGCCATCATGAAAACAATCCCAAACTTAATTCACTTGGATAGGACATCACATAGTGCTTAGAAGAATTAGCCCTTTATCTTTGCAGACACAAGAAGCAAGAACTTGTTCTGCCATTGTGCAGTCCCTGACTCCTTATTTCTTTGTTTCTTTTTTGTTTGTTTTTTGTTTCTGAAGAGTGAGCAAAAGAGGCGTCGTTACAGCTCACCATGGAAACTGCCGCTGTGGACAAGGAATGGCTGATATGCCCTCGGGATGTCACCCTCTAGCAGGTGGCCAAAACGACACCACCCTGCACCCAGGACCAGTCTGGACGCAGCCGTGCCCCACTCCGGAACAGCTGGAAGCCAGGCTCCCTGGCAGGGTTACCCCTGAGGCAGTGACCCTCCAGCTCCCCCGGGGAGGAATCCTTGCCTCGGTGCTCCCCCAAAACAGATCATCAAAGGAAGTGGAGCTGCTTTCTTGGAGAGAAGCGGTTCCAACTGGAGCTGCAGTTGTCCGTGGCCAAGCTTTCCCATTGTTATTTTACAGTCGCTTGATGTTCTGAAAGATATTTAGAAAAATGATTTTAACTGTCCTGTGCCAAACTGGGTGAGGGTGAAAAAAAAAAGAAATTTGGCAGGGATGTTATTCATTCAGCATGTAGCTTGGATGACGTCCAGTGACTAACACAGGAGTTTTAACTGATCTGGGAGACTAAAAACCATTCACAAATAATTTGATTTAGGGTCACTGTGATTTCTTTTTATAAATAATTTTCATTGAGAAGTATTTTTTTAATTAGGATCGACAGATCCTAATAGCAACGCTATTGTGTGCATCGCTCATCATTCCCATCTTCCTAAATGACTTTCATATGTTGTGTGCTGGTTTCTTGTTTGCTGCACACGATGGGGCTTGTTCACAGGGTAACCAACGCCTCACAGCAGTGGACGAGCCATGCTGAACTCCTCTCTCCAAAGGCACGCTCCAAGGAGGACCCAGATGGAAAGCAAAGGGAGCTTCCACCATCCTGTTACATGTTCCTGTTCAGGGGCTGGTCTGAGCCTTCACCCAGCCTCAGACATCCCCCGTGGCTGTAAAAGCCTTCTGAGTGCTCTGCATCTGAAAGACGGCAACAGCAACTTGGCTTTGGTGCTTCAGTGCTCCAACTCCCATCACGGCACAGGAAGTTCTCTGAACTTCCCTTTTCCCCTTTTCCGTGGTGGAAAAAATTCTTACTGGACAAGAATGGGACCAAGGGAAATATCTGACACAATTTGGAAAAGTCTAAATTCAGTCACCTCCTAACCCAGTAGATCACCCGACTCAGCCTGAGCAGATTTGGGAAGACTGCAGGAGAATTCCGACATTTGGATGAGAGAAGAATGACTCGGCGACTCAAATGAATCTTGCTTGGCAATATCCTCTGTGTGTGACAGCCTTTTCTTTGACTTGCACAATAACAATTGCAGCCCAGCCACTTCAGCTGCTAATCTTATCTCTTGTTTGAATGGCTCTTAGCTTGCCTCCTGTTGATTATAAATGTTTGTACAAGTTCTTGGAGTCAGCGGAGTTGTTGTTTCGTAGCTGAATTGCAGGCTGGGGCTCCAAACTTTGAGATGCTCAAAGTAATGATCAGATATGTTCTTAAAAGCCCACTGAATTGGATTTCAAAACAAAAGGCCCATTGATCTTAAGCCTGAAATCCCAGCCACAACTCTTAAAATTTCTTCCCTTGTCTTTCCAAGGAACTGAAACTGGTGTGAAAAATGACTACAACAGTCAAAGAAAGGAGGATTATCTTATGAGAGGAAGCTAACTAAATTTGGTCTCATTTAGGCTATCAGAACAGTGCTGAAGGGGGTATAATTGCTACTGAGATACACACGGAAGGAGAGAAACTGCTAGAAAATCTTGTGAAATCTCCAAACTGAGAGTTGTGAGGCTGGACATGAAAAGATTTCTGATTTTCAGAGCGAAGAGGTCTGGGATGGGTTTCAGCAGAAGCCACAGAGGCAGTGCAGTGTGCAGCCTGATAACCATGTGGGAGCCACTGATAGGACTGCAAGAGGCAGGACGGGCAGCATGTGACCAGGAGCTCCCTGCAAGATCCCAGTCCAGCCTTTGCCCTGTACAAGGCCAAACCTGGACAACGTACGGAGAGACTCCCCTGGCTCCTGCACTTATCCATCACCCTGGTCCATCCTATTTTGCACCTTGCCTCATTCAGCAGCCATCCCAAGCTTGCCTTGGCTACATGATCTTGTTTTAGCATTGGGCAGACCAATTTAAGTTCCTGTGGGTCCCCAGGATGGGCTGCTGTGGTAGAGCTCCCATTGAAAAGATTGTCTTTTGGGAAGAAAAACACTTTTTTCCCTTTGTTTTGTTTACTTTAATAGGCAAACGCCTTATTCAAGCCAAATTCAGGCACAAAACCAGAGCATTAAGTAGTGGCTGTGACTTCCAACACTAAAAGGTGCTGGGCAAGCAGAATCCCACAAAACATCAACCCACCAAAGCCCCGACACTGGCAGGTTGTTCCCAGGATTGGTATCCACATGGAGCACATCCACTCCTGAAAAGGTACCACTGGCCTGTGCTGCGAGGAAAAATAACCTCTGCTGCTGGCCAGCATCCTCAGCACCAGCAATTTTCACTGCACCCCAGTCAGAGATAGACTGGGCACGCACCCCCAGGGCACAAACACAACTCCTCATGCACTTCCCAGTTCTACCGCCTGGATAAAGCATGGCTCATCCATAAGGACACCTGCTGGTGACAGCAACAGGCCGCGGGTTAGGTTGTTTGATGTCATTTGACTTGAAGATAAAAAGAGCAAATCAAGAGACAGGGGTTGCCAAAGCACCAGCCTGCAGCCTGCCATGGGGGCACCGTGGCGATGCCAACCTGGACACACAGTTCCCATGCCAGGAAACACCCAGGACAGCTCAGGTGGTCTGAAAATCAAACCCAGCATCCAGGGAGAGCACAGCACATCCCCAGCACTCAGGGCTTTCTGACAGCTGGCAAGCTGCAGCTCAGCCAGTGCTGAAATATTGTTTCTGTGGTAAAAGGAAACTGTTTCTCTGTGTATTTGTTTTATTACCCATGGAGTCGGCATCACCACGGCTTTAACCACAGCCATGGGGCAGGCTGGGGGTTCCTCCTGGCTGAGCATCCTCTAACGCAACAAGATGTCTCAGCAGTTCACTCCGTCTCCTTGAGAAAGCCATTTGTGTGCCAAGCACATTCCACAGGCCACCCCAAAATTCACCTCATAGCGCCACTCTTTGTGCAACACTTGCAGGGTTTTTGGGATGCTAGAGGTACATCCATGCCTTCCCCAGAAGTCAGCAGCCCTGGAAGCAGCAGGCAGGGAAGCAACTTCTGCCCAGAGCAATCCTACCAGTTTGCTTCGTGACCTGCAGCATCAGGAGAAAACATCCTTACTCGGGCTGGAGCTGGCTTAAAATTGAGGGTTTGGAAACAAGGACTAGAAGCTAAAGCATCCCCTCCAAAACCCAGCCCCAAACCTCCAAAACCCACCTCCAAGCCTCCAAAATCCACCTCCAAGCCTCCAAAATCCCACCTCCAAGCCCCACCTCCAAACCCCCGCTGCGGGAGGGCGCCCGATCCCCCCGCTCCCCATCCCCGCTGCGCTCCGAGCCTCCAAGCCCCGCGCCACGCCATAGGCCTATTAATTAACTTCACCATCAACCCCGAATAAACACATATCCCACCCGGGCATCCCGGGCATCCCACCCGGGAGGAGGGCCCGCTGCCGAGCGTTCTCCCGTACGGTTCGCTGCGGGGAGCACGAACCCGGCGGCTCTTCCGGGCCCCGCCGGCTGCCCCCGGGGTGCGGGAGCGCGGGTGCGGCGGGGCCAGCGGCGGGGCCAGCGGCGGGGCCGGGCAGCGCCGGTGCAACAAGAGCCGCCTGACCCTCTCCATGTCGGTGGCCGTCGAGTTCCGCGACTACCTGGGCGACTTCATCGAGCACTACGCGCAGCTGGGGCCCAGCCAGCCCCCCGAACTGGCGCAGGCGGCCGACGAGCCCCGGCGGGCGCTGAAGAGCGAGTTCCTGGTGCGGGAGAACCGCAAGTACTACATGGATCTGAAGGAGAACCAGCGCGGGCGCTTCCTGCGCGTCCGCCAGACCGTGAACCGCGGCCCGGGGCTGGGCTCCACGCAGGGCCAGACCATCGCGCTGCCCGCACAGGGCCTCATCGAGTTCCGCGACGCCCTGGCCAAGCTCATCGACGACTACGGCGTGGAGGAGGAGCCGGCCGAGCTGCCCGAGGGCACCTCCTTGACTGTGGACAACAAGCGTTTCTTCTTCGACGTGGGTTCCAACAAGTACGGCGTGTTCATGCGGGTGAGCGAGGTGAAGCCCACCTACCGCAACTCCATCACCGTCCCCTACAAGGTCTGGGCCAAGTTCGGCCACACCTTCTGCAAGTACTCGGACGAGATGAAGAAGATCCAGGAGAAGCAGCGGGACAAGCGCGCCGCCGCCGCCGCCGCCCCCGCCGTGGGCGCCGAGCCGCCCCCCGAGGCCGAGGCGGCCGCCGCCGGGCCGCCCGGCGCGCTGCTGC